AAAACAAAGTCAAACGAATATGGAAATTTTTTCTAATTGTTTAAATTTATTATTTTTTACTTTTTGGTAATTGGAACAAATTCCAGATACAATGGTAGAAAAATTATCACTTTAATAGATGATTTTCATAAAAAATGAAGTCAAACGGACACCAAACTTTCAACATTTTGCAGGTGGAAAATTAAACCAATCAAACACAATTAATTACAATTCCCAATAAAACAATTTCTAAGCAATTCAATTTCCAGTAAAACATTTTTTTTCCACCTTTGCAATCAAACGGACGGTAAAATTTATTTTCTTTCCACCCAAATTCAATTCTTACAATCAAATGGACTCTTACTGACATAAGTTTTCATAGAGCTTGATTCCGTAAGGACAAGTTGTCCATCCACACGAAGTGCCAAGTAGATCCATACATGCCAATGTTAGGAGAATTTTCTCCTTCCAGTAAAAAATGTCATCACCTCATAGAATTGGAATATGAATAGAGTCATTGAAAATGTAGGACCCCTGCATAACATAAACACGTATATTAATGTTATGAATACTATCTTTATATTGAATTAACCAATGTCAATTCAATTTTGTAAATTTAGAACTACATGTGGGTGGAGATTATTATCAAACATTGAATTTACAAATACTTTAGTAATATCATGTGTGCATAGAAATTTTTTTATTTCGATATATAGTTAATTACTTTATTACAATAAATTTTTTAAGATAACTATTTTCTTGTGAGGCCAATGAATCATCATATGTATTAACCACACTTTATGAGATGTCGCATGTATCACCAAAATAATTTTTATGTGATTTTATATTCCATCACATAACATTATAACTATAGATGCCTTAACTAATCTTAAATTATAATAATGTCAAACCCCAAATGCCATCGCCAAAGTTTAAGTTATAATAACATAGTCAAAACCTTTTCTGCCAAGGCATGCAGTTTCGAGAAATGTTTAATGATTCACAAGGCTTATCGCTGTATTTTAATGCTGTATTTTAATTCACATGCATTTTTAAAAATCCATTTATCAAATTAACCATTTAATTCCAATAATTACCTTTAAAAAATCATTTAATATAAAAAATGGGGCACCTCAAATATTTGCACTTAAAATGATTTTCTTTAAAACAAATACTTCTCTAACAAAATATTAATGTTCTCCGATTAGCCATTTTTAAATCCAATTAGCATATATTTTGCACCAAATGTACAATTATAAATTATATTATTTACTTAGATCAAAAGAGCATTTGAAGCTATTATGTCATCGTATCGAGTCAAGCTATTATATGGAGATCCATACATGCCATCGTATCTGTTCGTTAAAATCCCGCAAGGATACTGGATCAATGACAAGTAATAAATTTAGTAAGTTAAAAGTATCGTCCAACATGAAATAAATTTAAATTCAAGTTTACTAATTTTTTATGGAATTCGAATTATGTAAGCAAAAGAGAGACTTTGATTTGATTTTAT